TTCCTGCTTCATGAAGTCTAGCATTTAAATTCTGAATGGCTTTGTTTTCCATGAGAATATTTCTCTAATGTAATTTTCACTAATGCAGCTATAGATAATACATAGCAGTTTCATAGTTCTTTGTACAGTTTCATTATTTATATGGTTATTTAGTTAATTATATGACACCTGCTGCTCATAATTTAACTTTGTACTTCCGTGGTCTGATAAGGCAGCCTTTTTCATGTGTAGTTTTTAATACAAGTTAAATATGCAAAGAATATGTAAGAAGAGAATATAGAGAAATTGAAATTATGACCTCAAGTAACTGGGATTCTGAAGCTAGACTATTTGAAATGTAGTAGACAGTTCTACCTTTATAACTTATTACAGAAACGAAATAAGTTTCTTTCCTTTTGGAGATGGTATATGAAGTCTATCTGTGTATTCCCAAAGAAAGTATTTTACGTTCGCTTAATTTTAACACATTATAATCTCTGTTAAAGTATAATGAAAAGTTCTCTACCAAAATGTGGTAAGAAAGACACCCTCCTTTATGACACCCTCATCTATGACTCTATGGTTCTTTCATGCCCCTCCTCTATAACACTCTCCTCTGTGGCTCTATGATGCTCTCCTCTATAGTTCCATGGTTCTATAATGCCCTCCAATATGATGCTTTTCCTGTATCAGGCCCTTCTCTGTGATTCAATGGCACTGCAACACCTCCACCATGACTTCCTCCTTTATGATTCTATGGTTCTATGACTCACTGCTCTATGACTCTGCAGTTCTCTGGCACACTGCTCTATGTTGTCTTCCTCTATGACTCTAGGGTCCTATGACAACCTCTTCTACCACATCCTCCTCTATAACCCTATGGTTCTCTGACATCCCTCTCTATGGCACCCTCCTCTATGACTCTATGGTTCTATGAAGCCCTCCCTCTATGACTCTGTGGTTCTGACTCTCTTATCTATGAGTATGTGGCTCTTTGACACTCTGATTCTATTGCTCTGTAATGCTCTCCTTCTATGGTTCTGTGACAAACTCTTGTAGGAGTCTGGCTCTGTGACTCTATGATGCTCTCATGTATGATGCCCTCCTCTATGACTCTCTGGCTCTATGATGCCCTCCTCTATGATGACCTCTTTTATGATTCTGTGGTTCTATGATACACTTCTCTATGACACCCTCCTGTATGATGCCCTCCTCTATGACTCTTTTCATGAGACCATCCTTCATGACACTTTGGTTCTATGATGTTCTTCCTTTATGAATCTATATGGGTCTAAGATGCTCTCATCTATGCCATTGTGGCTCTTTGATGCTCTCGCCTATGATACTGTTTCTCTGTGATGCCCTCCTATATGACAACTTCCTATATGGCATTATGGCTCTGTGATGTTCTACTCTATTACTCTTTAGTGCTTTGATGACCTCTTCTATGACTCCATAGTTCTATGACACCCTTCCTCTATGATGGCAACCACTATGATTCTATGGAACTGTGACACCCTCCTTCATGACTCTAAGGTTCTGTGGCTTGCTTCTCTATGGCTTGCTCTTCTATGACTCCCTCTTCTATGACTCCCTCTTCTATGACTCTCTGGTTATATGACACCCTCCTCTATGAGGTCCTCCTCTGTGACGCTCTCTTCAATGACACTGTGGCTATTTGTAGCACTTTTTTATGTTTTAATGCTCTGTGACACACTCCTATATGACATAATGGTTCTGTGATCCCCTTGTCTATCAGTCTATGTTTCTGTGATGTCCTCTTCTGTGACTCCACGGCTCTATGGTGCCCACCTCTATGACTCTGTAGTTCTATGCAGCCATCCTCTATGACACTCTTTGTTTCTCTGACTCCCACCTCTATGACTCTATGGTTCTACGATGCCATCCTCTATGAATCTCTGGTTCTATGGTACTTTCCTGCATGACTCTGGTTCTGTGATGCCCTCCTCTATGACACTTTTGTTCTTTGACACTCTCTGCTATGATTCTATTGCTCCTTAACTTGCTCCCCTATGACACTGTGGTTCTGTTGCACCGTCCTGTAGGAGTGTATGTTTCTGTGACGGCCTACTCTGTGATGCCCTCCTCTGTGGCTCTATGATGCCATCCTCTATGAGTCTATGGTTCTGTTGTGCCCTCTCTAAGTCCATAGCTCTGTGATGCCCTCCTCTATGACACTGTGGCACTCTCCATTATTATGTTCTGCTGTGTGACACACACTTTTCTGACAGCCCCCTCTATGAAACTGTGTCTCTATGAAGCCCTTTTCTATGAATATGTGGCTCTATGACACTGTCCACTATGACTCTGTGGCTCTGTGATGCCCTCCTCTATGACTCTATGATTTAATGGTTCTGTCATGCCCTCTCTGTGAGTCCATGGCTCTGTGACATCCTACTCTATGACTTTGTGGCTCTATGATGTCCTCCTCTATGAATCCGTTGTTCTGTTGTGCCCTGTCTATGGGTCCATGGCTCTGCAGTGCCTTATTCTAGGATTCTGTGGTATTAGGATGCCTTCCTCTAGGATGCCTTACCCTAAGATGCCCTCATGTATGACTCTGTGGTTCTATGACTTCCTCGTCTATGACTCTGTGGTTCTATGACTTCCTCGTCTATGACTCTGTGACCCTCTTCTGTCACTCTAGGCTTCTATGATCTTCCTCTGTGACTCCCTCCTCTGTGATTATGTTTTTATGAAGCTGTATAGTTAGACAAGTCAGACGAATTGTATGAAAAAGATGGTTGGTTGTATTTTTTTAAGTGTGGGACTTAATTACAGCAAAATTAAAGACTTGCTTCAAAATCCACTTAAGTCTTATGGAGCTGAATGATCCATGGTTTGACTTTCTTAGAGTCACATTGGAAGCTGCTAACTGAGTCAAAAGTAACTGAGTAAAGCAAGACTCTTATGTCTATCCTATTAGGCGTAAGTTCATTGTTTCCTCTGCGTTCTCTAGAAAGAATCATAACATTTTTTCAACAATTGTTTGCTGCTTCCACAACAGCAGTCTCTAATTATAATTACTTTTATCTGATAAAATTCAGATTCGCTTTCCTTCCCCACAGCCTTTTCATTCCCAAAGTACTTGCTCAAAGGTAATAAGGTAGAATTATGCAAGTCCATTGAAAAGTTAACCTTGTAAATTTGCTTAATCTTAGGCTTCAACCTGGCTTTTTGACAGTCTTTAAGCATACAGTTACTGTTACACTGTGTGCAAGATATGTACATAATGGTACTATTCCTATATCACCCAACGAACTATATAAGGCTTGCAAAAAGTTGTGGATCTACAAAGAAAATAAGCTCAAACTTCAAACAGACTTTCAGCTGGCTCTCATAACTGCTGCTGAATAAGATAGTATGCATTTTTAAGTCTGATCTTGAAAGATGCTGAGTGTCTCTGACAGCTAATAAGCTCAATGATATTTGAAAGCACTAGTCCTTAGGAAATGGGAAAGGCTGCTTTTTGCTGGTATTCTCACGATTGGCTGTCTACACCAGCAATTAGTGGCACAGGAAAATAAACAGAGAAAGCATGCTGAAGTCCACAAAGTATTTCACTTAAACAAAAAATTAAGCATCGTAAGGAGATTATCTGGTGTTTTTCAAGAAAGAAATGAAATGGGAGAACCAGGGATGTGCCACAAGAGGGTCTTATGTGTGTATAAGTTGAAGGTTCATACTAAGAGACTGTGTTCTGATAAAATGGAAACTAAAACCTTTTGGCACCACTGCATTTCTGAAATGTAGCCTTTTCTTCATACCCTGCAAGTAGCTCTTTACAACCTCATTTCCCCTCCTGCAGAAATGATTAATTCATTTTGACTTTAACTATGATAAAGTATTTCTAGAGCACAAGAGAAGCATTTTCTTATTGCCCTATTGATATCAATAACTATTAGTGTACTTAGCTGAATCTTATCTAAAAAAGCTCTGCCAGTTTACTCTTGCTGAGCCAGTAAGTGTTTCATACCAGGTATAGACTCTGTGTATACTTTTAACACACGTACTATCCTACTATCACCTGGCTTTGTGTTTGAAAGATAATTAAGCATGTATTGCTTGCACCTTTTTTGGTTATTCTGTAAATGAACCATTGGAGTGATATCTAACTTGATTTGAGAATTGATGGCTGCTTTTGCAGCTGGCTTATAACTAAGACAAGAAAGCCCAGGGATTTGTGAATTGTAGAGTGTTGCTGATGCTTTTTTTTTCCTTAAGGAATACAAAAGTATAGCTAAAATTACTAACAATGCTTTTATACTAGTTATTACATGGAGACAGTTGAAGATTGTGTTGGAAGCAATTTAAATCTTGCATTTGCCCAGTGAAATTTACCAATGGTCATTTGCACTTTTCTGTAGCTGTGGTGAAGAACCCCCCGAACAACCTGTGGATCATTGCAGCAGTGCTGGCTCCCATTGCTGTGGTTACAGTTATCATTATCATCATCACAGCCGTTCTGTGCAGAAAGAACAAGAACGACTTCAAGCCAGACTCCATGATGAACCTGCCTCAGAGAGCTAAAGTAAGTGACTAGTCTCCAGATCCAAGACGTCCATTTGCTTTCTGAGGTTTTAACTGTGTTCAGACCTGGTCTTAACCAGAAGTTCTCCATCCAACTGCTAATTCAGAAACATTCTTTGAATATTTTTTTCAGGAAATTTCTCCCACTGGTATTTTTCTGTTAGATGTTTTGAACTTTCTAATTTATTTGTGGATATTGTTCATTGCATTCAAACAACATTTTCCTTAAATTTACTAACCTATATCAATTACAGGATTTTTTTTACCAAATCATGTGTCTTTGCAGGTTTATCTTCTGTCTTTAAGAGAAAAATGTCACAGAATACTGATTTGTCTCTGTAGTGATAAAAGTCTGCCTTCTCAACACTGCTATTAAATGGCATTTAAACAGGGCCGCACAAAGTTAGGAGTTTTTAGCCTACAAAGCATGTGTGTAAGTCATACTGTTCCTTTGCCCTTTTAGCTGGCTTTGTTCTTCTCCACTGGCATGCGATTGAGATGATAATATTTTTCTTTGATTTCTTCATGCTACAGCAGAGTATTGTGATTTCAGCTCGGTTGCTTCTGCTGAAAAATGTAGATTGGAGGGAGAGTTGAAGGAAGGCATGATGCATATGACAGCTCTTTTCTCCTCATCTTAGGTTAGTTGCAACTGGGTGCTGGAAAAAAGACATTTTTATAAAAAAATGGAAATGTCTTTTTTGTATCATTTTAATTCCAGTATGCTCATCTATTTATCTGGTGTTACCAAGCTAGTGTTAAGACTAGACCTGCAGAAGTGAAACAAGCAATATCACAAACACAAACAAAAATTAATACCACTGCAGTAACATCTTACAACATCACACTGAAACCTCTGAAATGCCAACCATGCTTTATTAGGGGCTGTTGCAAATACTATGCACTCCCTTAATTCTTCTTTTATGCAGTCTTAGTCCCAGCTAAAGGACAGAGTAAGACTAAATTTTGAACATTGTTTTGAGCTGGCCATCATTATGGGATGCTTTACAGCTTTAAAAAGTTAGTATTAAAAACAAAAAAAGACTGCTGGTTGAAGGTACAGCACAGAAAAAGCTTGAAAGTATTTTAATATTCTGTAGTTGTCACTCCAGAGAGTGACATGTAAGAGAAAGTAGAATTTTTACTTTTCCTGAAAAATCAGATTTAATCAGTCTGTAACCTACATGGGCAGTTAAAAACCTATTCCGTCAGGTTTTATTTCTATCAGGAGCCAGCGTGTGTCAGACAAGAATTGGATCTGCAGAACAAAACAACTGGTGCTGAGCTCCAAGCATCCACATGACACTTGTTTCAGGAGATTTTCCTGCAGACTTGCTCACACTTGCAACTGGAGTGCAGCAGTCCACTTCTAGAGTGCATTTCCCCTTTATAGGTATATTTTGAGAGTCCATAAAATTTAATTTAATTCATTATATAAAAATTGATCATTTCAAAATGAAAGCTAAATTGATTTCCGCTTAATTTCACAATGATAGCTCCATCAAAAAGGTTCAGCCAGGTCTAGTTTAGGGTATATACTGCTATATGGACCATGGAAAATAAATTCTGCAGTGGAACTGGGAATGGACTGGTTTTGTCATTCCTGATTTCAGCATCTTTCCTTAAAATAAGGCTAAGAAATGTAATTTTGAAAGATAATGAAATAAAGTCGTTTTGAAAAGAACAATTTTATTTTTATTTTTAATTCAAGCATTAGGGATATCAGGAATTGTGGTCATTACTTGAATGTAATTGCTGCATTTCATGCAGTTTGGCAATGTAAATAGCTGATGAACACATCTATATCACATTAAAATGAATCTTATTATTATTTGATGGCTTAGAAAAGCGCCTGAGACTGCTTAATTAATGTTGAATCTTGTCTGTAACTGCAGTCATAGCAGAGTGATTTTTAGTTTAAGCAGCAGATTTTAATATTTTGTTTCTGTGTGTCTAAGATTTGTTGTTGAATCACTGGAGCAATTTTTTGGTATCTTTTGAATATCCAGCAAACTATATAGAGAGGAAAAGAGAATATTAAGGGATATCCACAATGCTGGATTTCAGCTGTTCTATTTTTTCAGTGGTGCCATTTTATGTGTTCGGATTCCAAAAGTCCTGTACCAAGGAGACTGGCAGAGCAGAGCTGCCTGTTCATTGCTGCAGCCTTATTGCTGCTGGGAGCAGCGGGAGGCTGCGGGTGCTGGCAGAGCAGGGCTGCCTGCCATGGCCCCTCCGAGCCCTGTCCCGTGCCAGCGAGACAGGATGCACGAATGCAGCAGTGAGGGGTAATGCAACATTTAGCATTGAATATCCTTCTGCAGCTGGGAGAGGTGATGTAACAGCAGGATTGCTGCCTGTGCCTGGTAATTTAGGAATGGCTTTTTTTTTTTCTTGTAACAGACCGAAGGCTAAATAAATAAAGCTTAAAAAATGACCTCTCTTACATAGTGTAGTTTATAGTATCTTTTTTAGGAATTGTGTTGCTGTTTTGAATTGCCTTAGCAGTCAGGGACATCTGGACTAAGTTTCAGGGGAAAAGGGACTGCTACCATATTTTTTAATTGACTCTCCAGTTGTAAAATTGAAAGAAGTATAAATTAAAATAAAATGCTGTTTTTATTTTGAGATACTGTTTTTACTTTGAGCTTTTGGATAGATGCTAGCTTTTACCTCCCTTGCTTTCTAATTCACAGCATGCTTTTTAAAAGGCTGAAATCTGATTTGTCACCTTTCCTTCTTTTAGAGCATGAAAGAATAAGCTTGCAGGTAAACAGAGATAAGATCTGCAGTCTATGACCTGCAAGCAAAGCAAATACTGCAGACCATGAGAAAACAACCACTACCAGTATGATAAAGGGCATAGAAAAAGAAAGATTGGATGAACTATGTACATGGATGTACATGCAGAGGGGAGGGGCAGATAATCCTTTTATTTTATTTTATTTCAT